ATATCCATGTTTTCAGTACTCAGTGTGTCACTCTTCTCCTTTATTCCAGCTTTCACTCTTTTCAGGAGACTCACTTTCAGCTTCTCAAAGAAACCTGCAGGGATATTTTCCACACCTCCAAAGTTCAGTCTTAGAAGCTGGTTGATCATTTTCTGAAGTAATCAAACCCATTCAGTGATGTGGAGGTCTGGACTCTGGGGTGGTCAGTCCGTTGTTCAGCTTCTTTGTTTGATGTGTCCGTCTCCTTTTCTCAGTGAGGTTCTTCTTGACAGCTACACATCCTTTCAGACCCACAGCGCTGAGTCGTCTTCTCACAGTGGAAGGATGGACAGAAACACCTGTGGATGATTTTCAGATCTGAAGCAGCTTGATTTTCTCCTCTCTCTCAAAGATGAAAGCTTTAAGTGCTGTTTATCTGATGGGGACAGTGTTGGTATCTACCAGGTCTTCCAGGTGGTTGTTAGGAGCCCCATTTTCTCTGTTTTGAAAACTGTTTTTTTTTCAGTTATTTTCTTTTGACTTTCTACTTCATTATGCAAGTCCATTATCTCGTATCTAACATCCTCAGAAACATCTCCTGGGAAATGAATAACTGTTTTGACTGGAAATTAAATAAATGAAGGGTGCTCCCTGACTTTTCTTTATATTACACTAAGGATGAGTTTACTTTGTGGATGTAATGACATGTTGCTGTGATGTATATGTGAGGTATTGTGGTGCAGAGGTTGAGGATTTTTTGGCTGTGCAGGCAGCTGTTAGAGAGTCTTGCAGAGCTTGCAATTACCGAGCTGTGTGAGTTATGATGAGAGAGCTTTCTGCTTTTTTACTGCTTTACAGGTAAATTACAAAACACACAAAATCACACGCGTTCCAAAGCACATGCATGCACTTACATGCCCACACACAGTATGAGCGTGTGTAAACGGTGCTGTGTTCCACCTGATGCCTCCCTAACCTTAAAGGGGAATTCTACCAAATTTACAGAATTTCTGCATAATTCAGGGGTTGAGGTGTAAACAGAGTCATTCAGAGTGGTTTGGTGTGAAATGGTTCACTGTAGAGGAACTTGCCTACTCAGATGTCTTTACAGTGGTGGTGATAGGAACCAGACGTCACAATGCCTACAACACAAATACAGACATTTTATTTTCTACCCAAACCACTTGTGAACCTACATGAGTCTTCTGAGATTTTCAGAAAAATAAAATCAGAAAAAATGTTTTCTTTGCCTTTTGACTCTCTGCATGTACCTCTGCTGATTAGACGAACTACGCACTGGACAGTAACTGAAAATACAGGACTAACTTGAGGAGAGCTTTGGACCCTCTAAGGCTAATACTTTAAAATACATCGAATTACAGTGGCTGTTTTTTTCATTTGTTTATTTGTTTTTATTATAATTATCTTGTTTTTATACTTCAAATGGGTCAGTTTATTCATTAATTTATCATTTTTAACTGCTTAATCCAAATAGGGTGCCTGGGATAGGGTTACCGGGACCTACTCCTGGAGTCAGGCCTTGGGGTAGTGTTTCTCCGCAAGTGCCTAGTGGCCAGGAAACCCACATAACCCAGCCCGGGCTCAGCTCAAAACGGCAACATGGGGGCCCCATGTGGGCCCACCACCCACAAGGTCCAGCTTTGCAGTGCTGTATAGGCGGTGGGAGATAGTAGGGGGGTCCTTAGTTGCACAGACAGTAGATATTGCTGTGTTGTAGTGGCCTAATACAAAATGGGTTTAAATACTGATAACACAAACAGTTTGTTAATAAACAGTATGATCAGCAATGGGAATTGTGGGTAGGACCCTCTAATAAACCCAAATTCAGGCAGTGTGGGGACACACACTGTCTACAGAGCCGCCTGCTGGAGGAGAAGGGATACTGCAATTGGCATATTCGTGCAGACTCACTGTTGATAGTGATGAGCGGATCTCTCACCCTAAAGCCACACAGTCTTAGATAATCATTTAATGTAGTTATAATGGAGCTGTTAGATAATTAAAACCTTTAACTGCATTATTTTATGTAGTTTAATTGCATTTGTCTAAATACTTTCCACTTACAAAAGTGTCTGAATACTTGTTTCCCTTCACCGTTTCATTTTCTGTTTTCCCTGATGCTGAAAAATTACTTGTTTCTGTTTAAGTGCTTTCTGCAGGGCTCCTTGTGGGCATTTCACTGGTGGAAGTTGACCCATTGAGTTGTTTTATTAATGTAATCAAATAAAACAGTTTAAATCAAAATATAATAAAATGTTTTATTCAAATAATTTAAATAATTTTACTTTTGTTAAAAATAACAATATTTATTGCTTTACTGAAGGATGTCCGAAACAGGCTGAAATGGCATGTGACTGTGAAAAAAGCGCTTGATGGCTGTTTTGACTGGCTCTGAGACATCAGGTTATCAGGTTATTAAATGAAGAGTTGATTAAATGAGAGAAATTTGCTTTTTTAATTGTATGTTGTCCTTAAAGAGTTAACAGTGCTGTCGTCTGTTTAGGAGAAGTCATTTAGAAACTGTGGTGACCACAAAAATACAGTCTTTAGTTAAGTTAATCAGATGACGTGTTGAGCTTCCACCACTGAGAGTTAAACACACACAAACACATCAGTACAGTTTTCCCCAAACAAACACTGTTTGTATAATGTTTGTTTGTTGCGGCTGCATATGTGAGCGGCTACTTCCTGTCACCAGGACGTCCAGAGGTCATTCTTCTTTATTGAGCAAGTGCCACGTACTCACACACATACACACACACGCACACTCACACACACACACACACACACACACACACTCACGCACACACACACACACACACACACTCACTCACACACACACATACACACACATGCACTGGTGTGTTTTATAGTTGTGCTCTCGCTGAGTTTAGAGCTTTCCTCAGCTTTTGATCTCCACACTATTATCCTGCTTCAGACCAACTGGACTCACTCACTCACTCACTCTCTCACTCACACTCACAGCTAGAGTGACAGAACACCATCCACACGACCAGTTACCTAACAGAGAGAGAAAGAGAGAGAGAGAGAGAGAGAGAGAGAGAGAGCAACTGCAGAGAGAGACGAAGGTATACTACAGAAAGAGAAAGAGAGACTACAGAGAGACTGTAGAGAAAGACAGGGAGAGACTGTAGAGAGAGAGAGACTACACAGGGAGAGACTATAGAGAAATACAGAGAGAGAGAGAGACAGTACAGAAAGACAGAGAGACTGTAGAGAGAAGACTAGAGTAATAGAGAAAGAGAGAGACAGAGAGGGAGAGACTGTGGAGACACTATATTGACAGAAGGACAGAGGAAGAGAGATAGAGAGATGTAGAGAGAACTGTAGAGAGACAGAGAGAGATTAGAAGGAGACAAAGAAAGAGAAACTATAGAGAGAGACAGAGAAAAGGAGAGAAACTATATAGAGAGAGAGAAAGTGTAGAGAAAAAATAAATGTTACTGGAGAAAATGTAGACATTAGATTTAGCAGGACAGTTTATTCATAACTGCCACAAGATCAGAGAAAAAAAAATATATATATAACATTACATATGTTCAGTTCTGTAATCAGTATTTCTGATTCCTGATATTCAGATATACAACTTAATTGTTCATATTTACCTTATTGTTTAATATGTTTTAGCATTGTAGGGAGAGAGACAGAGAGACTGTAGAGAGAGAGACACAGGTACATTATGTAGAGAAAGAGAGATAGAAAAAGAGATAGAGCGAGAGAGTCAAGACCAGTTATTGTAGTTTTTGAACACTGCCTTTTTTCACTACTGGTATTCTGTTTTCTTTTAATTCTCCACTGTCGCACCCCTTGAGGTCCAGCAGGAGACGGTCATTAATGTGGCCTCTGCACAAAAAAAGTCCTGAGACTGAAAGAGACGACAGGCAGAACGCTTGTCAGTCCGACTGGGCTGTTGGAACTAAGTTTTCTATAACATCATTTATATCACTGTAGCTTTTCTGAACAATGTTGCGGTCATCAGTGTGTGTGGTGCTGGTACGAGGGTATCAGATACAGCTGTGGTTCTGGAATTTTTACACAGACAAGATTAGCCCCGTGGTCAGAAACTGACCGCTAATGAAGGGCTAGAGCACATGTGTGAGGCTTCAGTCTCTGCGGGCCAGAACACTGCAGACTTCAGCACCCTGCCTCATTAAACATGCCTGATTCAGCTCATCAGCTAATTAGCAAGGCTTTATGAACTGAATTCAGAGTGTTAGGTGAGGTTAAACACTGATCTCCACAGCACTTTGGCCTGGAAGATCCCCTGTTTGACATGCCTGGGCTAGAAGATGGCTAATGTAGACTGGGCATCAGCAGACGAACTGCACTCTCTAACTGCGCACCAGCAAGGTGGTAGGCGTTTCCGATAAAGTGGCCTGTGAAAGTATATCCTTTGTATTGATACTTAGCCATGGGTTACGGATGGTTAAAGTGCCACGATCTTCCACCGATTCTGTGCTGTGATGCTTTCAGAGACGCGCCTCTGATCTTTGTGCTCACAGACATTTTCCACGACATTCAGGAACTGAAACAGTCAGAGATCACAGCAGCAGCGTGCCTGGATGCATTCGTCTGATCGGATAATGAAGAGAAGCTGCTGTCTAAATGTGGCCTAACTGCGAATGCATGCATTTTCTCTGATTTTTCTAATATAGTGATGATGGCTGCACTCCAAAAAGCAGCTACTGTTATAGACATGCTGCCCTGTGGTCACTGCTAGGAGGGAAGGATTTGGGTTTTTCATATAAATGTTTATGGCTGTGTGTTCTGTCAACCAGCGTCTTCAGCGAAGGTGCGCGATGCGTTTGTGTTATTTAACCCGAGAAGACCCACATTTGTTCAGCGTTTTATGAAATCCTGCTCTCTCCTGTTTTGACGGAAATGACAGGGCAGAACTTTAAGAGGGGACAGTAAAATCTGACCCCTACTCACTCTGTGTGTGTGTGTGTGTGTGTGTGTGTGTGTGTGTGTGTGTACAGGGAAGTTTTTACGTGCCTTCAGAGAACTGCCTGCAGAGAGCTCATACGTGGCACCGCTCTCTCTGTCGCCTCCTGCTGGCCGCCTATAAAGGACTGCGCTTCTATTACACGGCCCTGATGAACGACGTCCCTCAGCTGCCGCGTGTGGAGATAGGCACGTTATCCACCTTCACGCAACACAGACACAAGGACCACACAGCAGAGAGCTGCTCAGTATTGCACTGTGAGGTTTTTAGTAATATGTCATTGGGCAGTAGGTAGTACTGTAGCGGGCAGTGTTTACACTGAATGTTTGTTTTTCATAGTTTTAAACACATGTTAATCTATAGCTACCTTTACATGGTGAAACTTTGTATTGCGAGTTGCCTGCAACATCGTTTCAGTGCAGCGTGACAGTTACACAAAGTACAAACTCAAAAGTTGCACACAATGCAGTTAGCCAAGTTAGCCACTCATATTTTTTGGTAAGCAGTGCCATCGTTGCAGAGTCACTGGAGTGGTGTATTTCTGTATTTGCCACATTTTTATAGCCTTCATATAACACTAGTTTTTCCAGCTGTTATTGCTGTTCTTTTCTATACCTACACTTAAAAAAGATGGTTCTTCAAGGGTTCTTGAATAAAGGCAGTAGTTTTTAGGTGATTCAGTGAAGTGCCTGCAGAGAGCTCATACGTTGTACCGCTCTCTCTGTATATGAGTAGAGCCATTGCATGCTTAAAAGGCTCTTCAGATGATCGGAGAATGTGTGGGATGTGGTTCTATATTGACTTTTTGTGAAAATGGTTCTGTATAGCACCAAAAAGCGTTGTTCTATTGTTGCAAACTGGTAGCGCAAACCTTTTTGTGCTATAAAGAATGCTGAACCTTATAGAACACATTCACAATCAATCTGAAGAACCACTTCACCACGCAAAGAACCATTTAAGCATGAACTGGTTCTATATGGAACTCATGGTTCTAAATCGAACCATTGCTTTTAATAAAGAACCCCTGAAGAACCATCTTTTCTTAAGTGTGATAAATGTGTCTTTTATCTGTGTATCAGTACTGTATATTTCACTTTTAAATTTGTTCTGTTGTTGAAGGCTGGCTTTAACTGTGATGCAACTTTAGTTTCTTGAAACCTGCATGAAACTAAATTGCACTTGAGTTGTGTAATGTAAAGCATCCTGCAACTCACTTGAAACTTAGTCGCAACAGTTGCAGTTTCATTTAAAATATGAACAAAAATCTAACCTGTATTTGAATTTAAACGTTTGAACAATAATCTAAATCTTATCTTGAAATAAATGGTTTTAACAAATCGTTGTGTACCACAGTTGTTGGCACCTCTTGATAAATTCTTGTGAATGAAATTGAACTGAAGTATATTCCCATTTATATTTTTTGTTTTAAAGTTCACCTGAGTGATTATGGAGACTTAAATGGTCAGACCGTTGATTCTGTTCACACAGTTGTTCAAATATTGAATAAAGCATCCAAAAATACATTTTATTTTACATTTTACATTGGAGAAGTTATTATATCAGCACAACTGAAAAGATGTGACATATTCTGTTCATGTCCATCTGACTGAAACACTTGAGTGATCTTTTTTAGCGTGCTTATGTTCACTTGTTTAAAGCTGAATTGTGTTTTTCCTCCTACAGAGGACCTGCTGATTGAGGAGACACTGAACAAGCTGACCATCGAGCTGCAGGTTTGGAAGCTTATCTTTAAAAGGTTCGGTCAGTGACTGATGGAGAGTGTTCAGCTCTCTAACAGCAGCACTGCGTCTCTGAAACGTAGAGGAGTCAGAGCTGAAGCTGAGACAGATGTGGTGCTGTTTCAGTGCTTCTCCTCTGAGCCTTTAAAGAACTGAAGGGTTCTGCATTCAGAACTTTAATCCAGTCTCTAAACAGCTTCATGTGGATTTTATTTTTCCTTCTCGTTCCCTCTTCACATCTATTCTAACTGCCTGTTTCTCTCTCATCCACTCTCTTCTCTTTTTCTGTCTCTGTCTTTCTCACTCTCTCTCTCTCTCTCACTCTCTCTCTCTCTCACTCTCTCTCTCTCTCTCTCTCTGTAGTTACAGAGTGGTCATGAGAAGGTGGCTGAGCAGATAACGAGAGATCTCTCTCAGCTCTGTGCGAAGCTGGCGTCTCTTTGGGCTCAGTTTTTGGAGGCTGCCGTCCCAAACCCGCAAATCCGCACCCACCTGGCCCAAGAACATCACACACTCAGGGTGGGTCAGCCTTGTTAGAACGCACTAACTGGCAATAGAGCTGTTATAATCATGTTATACATGTGTAATAAGCAAGGAATAATCAGATTATGAGCATTGAATTCAGTCAGGCTACATCTGATGCTATTGTTCAAACATCCATACTGCTTCTAGTGCAAAGGTTTGAGTATCAGCTATGCCATGTGCCTTAAGGCACCATTCAAAAAAAGCTCACTTATCTGTCCCATGTACCTTATGGCAAAGAACTTACTAATATATATACTTTAAGCACCATTACAGTCTCTACCTTAGTTTGACTATTTTCCGTGGCCATGCTTGCCTGGGTTCCTCACTGTGCTCCTGACTGAAGTAATGAGCTTCCTGAACACACGTGTATCCCTGCAGGGCAGCTTTCCCAGCACATAAGCAATATATCCCCCTACAGGATCCCTCTGCTTCCCATTACAGCTATGCAGTTATAATTATTAAAGAGAAAAAACAGCATTCGCCCAGTGTGTGGAGCTTTGTTTGATGTTTACAGCCAATAATAAATCCATTCAAATACACATATTAACCCTTAAATGCAAAAGTGTTGGTCTAACTAGTTAATTGCATGAAGTACATTTTTTGTGTCCAAGTCCATTATTTTATTAGAACATAATTTAAAAAATAATAATAAACAATACTTCCTCGCTTGAATACATCAATATTACATTTATTTTAGGAATTTATACCTCCCAAACTCTAAAACTGTCAGGTGGTGCGACCGTCCAACCATATATGCAGATAGAGTTAACTGTTTAAAAAAGGTTATATCAATTTACAACACTCTAAATAAAAATTGTTCGGAATGATTTTATGTTTAAAACCTTTGAAACTGTGAAATGTTGCACAAGGCAGCATTCAACTCATTACAAAACCTTTTTCTGTAAATTCTGATTTCCTCAAATATCACATGGCACGGCCTACAGCAAGGGACTTTTATTTTGACATGCTTTTAAGAAAGACTAGGCACCGTATTGCATCATAAAGAGGTCATGTTCATGGCACAGTCATGGTACATGTTCAAGGTCAGTAGCCCTTTTAGAAATGTTGGAAAAATTGTAGTAGAGTCATTGATCAGGCTGGTTCAGCTTACCATGTCATGTGGTGCGACCACAGGAGAAACCATGAATAAGGTTGTTATAGTAATGTTTATTTATTAAAAATATACATACACACACACACATATATATATATATATATATATATATATATATATATATATTTCACAGACAAAGGTTTATATGGTGTCCAAGTACAAAGACTAGTTTATACACTTAAAACACTTTAAATACCTAATATTTTTATTAATGTGTGGTTGCACCACCTGACATTTTTGTGGGTGAGCAATGGAAAGCGTTTTTAATCCAGCTGATTTGTTAAGTGTGACACTTCATTGTAGCCGTATTTAATCTTTTTTTTTCAGTGAAAATGTTTAGCTTTTTTTCTCTTTCAGCTGAAAACCAAAAGAGGCACATTTGACCACTTTAACATTTGACCACTTTCAATGTTTCAGTGGTTGAAATTCTGGTGCAGCCCTAATTCATCCCATTATAAAAGCCATGAAACAAAATCAACCCATCAAATTGAGAATGTCTAAAATCATGATGATGAAAGATACGGGTATGATATTAAGCAATGATTTATTTTCTCCACAGGTCAGGAGATTTTCAGAGGGCTACTTCTTCACTGAACACCCCAAAGAATCCTCCCTCACCTTTCAGGAGGACCTGTGAGTCTCTCTCTTCTTCTCACACAGTATTACATTGAAAAAAGTAACTGACTGTATAGAAGTATGTGCATAATTTCCACATGAATAAAGTATATATCAACAATTCTGTCTGTCAGTTTACTTCGTTTTGGCAGTATTTGTGTTGATATTCTTTATTCTTGTGGAAATGATGTACACATATGACTGAGGTAAACAGTTTACTTTTTCTATGCACTCCCCAAAAGCTTAGAAATAGGGAACAATAAACTGCTTTTAACATCAGAACCGAGTCAGCAGTAGAACAGCAGTGTAACATGGCAGCAGCAGACGAGTAGGCAGGATGTATTTGTGAGTTTTTATGAAAGGCATAAACACATAGAGCACACAATGAAGTCAACACCAGAAGACAACTAAAAAAAAAAATTATATAATGGTGGGCAATATGTTGATAAGTATTATTATTATTGTGACAAATTACACCACATTACATCGTATTATGCTTTTCTCAGCATACAGTGGATATCAGTGCTTAAAGAACATTGAATAACTGCTTGTTTCATTACAAAGAGAGCTTAATTAGCCCTCTGTGATTGGATTTAGTGCACTATGTGAAATCCTCAGAAAAATGGTTAAACACACTTTTTAATGGTATTTTTTGAACATTGCTCTACTGGGAGCTTTTCTGTCTGTTCCTATTCATGAAACATCACAAAACGCAAAATATTGTGATATTTTGATATTGTCATGCTAATTATATTTATTTTTATTATTTTTTTTGCTATGGTGCCCACCCCTAAAAAAATGTACAGTATTGTATATGTCAGGGGTCGGAAACCCAAATGTTAAGAACAGCCATTGTGTCCTTCCAACAAAAATCAAACCACCTTGGGAGCCACAACATTTTATGTCCATTTTACCATTGTGGTTGTGAATACGTCTCAGTGTGTGCTAATGTGCTAGTATGGGCTAAAACTATAATATAAACAAAAATGCAGACTTACTTTGCTCTGCTTTAAGCTTCAGCTCAGCTATAGCCGCTTTTCTCACATCTCCAGGAGGAAACTTTTCTGCCAAAGTAGAACAGTATTTGTAAAATGTCTCTCAACGTTCGATTTTTTACGAGGCTGAAGTCGCTTCTCATTCACCAGCTTCAATTTCCCATTCTGCCTTAAATGGAGCCTGAAACGTCAGAAGGTAACTGCTGTACCATTTAAGGTGGAACAGGAAAATTCGAAAAAGAAGCTGGTGAACGAGAAGCGACTTCAGCTTTGTGACTTTTTAGTGTTTGTCAGTTTCTCGTTGCAGATTAAACATATCAGGACACCAGCTGGAGTGATTATAAACACAAGTCCATTTGTCTCCGAATTATCGATGTTCGTCTTAAATCTTTCTCTTTGCCTTTTCGTTAGCTGCTTGCTAGAGTTGTCTCCGTTGCTTTGTGACCAGCAGTCTGTGCGCTAACCTTCAGGGTTAAAGGGTGGATCAGCAGTTCTACATTAACTCCAGCGTTTAAGACCATTTATTGTTAAACTGTGCTGAACGATCAGCAGAGCTTTATTTTACTGTAAAGGAGGATTATTTTATTTTTACCTACAAATCTAGTTCTGCTGTGGAGCTGCAACAGAGCAGCAAAAGAGCCGCATGCGACTCCGGAGTCACATGGTTCCGACCCCTGATATATGTGGACAGCAAGCATTCATTTGTTAAAAAAACACTAACATAGACTGAACACAAACAAACGATTTAATATGTGTGATTGTGTTATCCTAACCATTTCCAAATCTCTCAAGCACTTGAGGAGCTCTAGTAGTTACAGTGACCATCCAAAACGTAGTTTATCTAATTAGTCCTTCATTAAATTCAGTCAGGTGCTGCTGATGGAACTGAACAAATCATTGTGATGGCTGGAGACCGGGGAGAAGTCAGGAATCAAACCTGTTTGAACCGTTTTCATGGCCGCCTAAAACTTTTGCACAGTTCTGTGTTCTGGGGTATTTTATTACAGTTACAGTATGGAGAGGAGATGAAAACCTTGACCTCCTTTAACCCTGTTCTCCTTTACTGTGTTCCTGCAGTATCAATAAGCATGCTCAGGTGGCGGTGGAGTTACGGAGTTCAGACTACATGAGCCGAATGCCCCCTTTGCCCATCGAGTGCCTGGACATTGACGGCGACTGGAGCAGCCTGCCAATCATCTTCGAGGACAGATATGTGGACACGCCCTGTTTAGGTAAACTGTTTCACAGTATAGAAGAGAGGAAGCTCATTGTCTAACCCCCAGAGCTGTAGTCAGCCACCTCTTGTACACAGTCGCAGTCTGCTGTGATTGGTGTAGCTGCGTTTTTCTAAAAGTGAGACACACTCCGCTGTTTTTTGTCTTGGGGAATCACGCTGCCGTTTTCCCTGGATGTCTTGGGCTGTGTCCCTGTTGCTAAGCAACAGCTTGCGGTAGCTAATTGGCTAGCTAAAATTATCCAGCAGAAACAGCACATCTAAAACAGATCTCTCTTTGAAAACAATAGAAAAAATGTTAGAATTACACAATTGATTAGTTATATAATGCATTTAAGGCTGCCAAATGCTTAAAATCATTAAATGCGCTTAATCGCGTTTCGAGTCAAAGGAAAGTTTAAACAGTTAAAAGCAGTGTGAGTGGGAAACAATACTGCATGCATGTATTAAATTTAATAATTTAGTAATAGTATTTTCATTGTGAGAGTTCACATCAACCTAATCCTGAAAATCACGATTTCCACGGCATGAACACAGATTAGAATTTTTATCAACAACGCCCAGTGAGTCCAGTGGCTGCATATTCCAGACCAGTGATCGACAATCCAAATGAGCCATTTTCTCATTTAAAAAAAAAATCCGCCTTGGGAGCCACAACATTTCATGTCCATTTTATTGAACTAACGTTTTACCATCTTGGCTGTAAATATGTCTTACTATGTGCTGATGTACTAGTCTAGACTAATAAAATATAAACAGACACGCAGAATTACTTTGCGCTTACTTAGCTCAGCTATAACCGCTTTTCTCACATCTCTGGCAGGAAACTTTTCCAAAAGTGAAATAGTTTCTTGAAAATGTCTCTCAACGTTCAACTTTTTACGAGGCTGAAGTCGCTTCTCATTCGCCAGCTTCTTGTTCAAATGTTCCTGCTCCACCTGTTCCACGTTAAATGGTGCCTGAGGCGCGAGAATATAACTGCTGCGCCATTTAAGGTGGAACGGGAACATTCGATCAAGAAGCTGGCGGATGAGAAACTGACTTCAGCTTCACAACTTTTTAGTGTTTGACAGTTTCTCGTTGCAGATTAAACGTAGCAGGAAACCAGCTGAGTTCTTATAAATGCAAATAAGTCCATTCATCTCCAAATTATCGAGGTTCATCTTAAATCTTTCTCTTTGTCTTTTAGTTAGCTACCAGCTAGGTGAGATTCTTGTCTGCGTTGCTATGGTGACCAGCAGTCTGTGCAACAGTCTTGGTTTTATCCAGGACGAATTAGCAATTATACATTAACTCCCAACATTTAAGACCACGTATTGTTAAAACTATGTTAGAACGATCAGAAGAGCTTTTCAACTTTTTCTTTTTTCTTTTGATATCAAAAAATGACAGAAGGCCTAGCAACAAGTCTGTTTATGTTTCTGCAAAATAAAACTGCATGCAACAATAACTGTCCTCATCTGCATAACGACACAAATTTGTTGGACAAGTGAGAAATGATTACTAGAATATTACAACATACTTTTGTTACCACCAGCCAATAATAGTGGTTTTAACGAGTTAAACTGAGTTTTAGAGACTGGTGTAGCTTATTTTTTTGTTTTTACTGTTTTTGCAGTCATTTATGTGGGACAGTCATTAGTGTTAAATTCCCACCCAAACTACCTGTTTTGCTGCTCCAGTTAAACATCATTTTTTTCCTTTATAGATTATACGTCACATGTGCCAACCCCGCCTATCTCAACCACTCAGCAGTCTGCTGATTCCACTGAGATGGTTGACCATACCACCACACCAGCAGAGGGAAGTCCATATTCTCACTCACCAGCAATAACCCCTGAGGATCCTTCCTGTGAGGACTACATGGACCTGCCCACATACATGGCTCTGATTGGCCAGGAGAGAGACTTTGTCATAGACAGGGAGGGGAACGTGGCTGAATCTGAAAATCTAACTGGCTGCGTAGATGGGACGGTGCATATAGACAGAACTGAAACTGACTTGGAGTCCATAGTCAAATTAAGGACTGAAAGTAGAGAGGACCCAAGCAGCCATCAAAATAGTGTGGAAAGTGCTGAATCTGTCTCAGAATCAGACAGATTAGACTCCAGAGAAAAAGCAAATTCTCAACAGGTCGAACACTTTAAAACACCCGTTCCTGAAATGTGCACTGAACCTACAGATGTTACAGATGTAACTGTAGGATCGTCTCGGGCAGACAGTGGCCTGCTAATGTCGGGGCATCTCTCCAGCAGTGGTCTGAGGTACATTGATGTCAGACCCAGTGATTCGGACCCATACAGGGGAGACGAAGTGCTGCTTGTCCAGTCAAACATCACAGAAGTTGTTGGCCACGTCGACCCCGATGGTCCTGAGCTCTCTCTTCATAACCACCACGACAACAAGATCGAATCCAGCTTGGAGAGGCATGGCGATGAGGACGCAGATGAGACGTCCACAGAGGCACCGTCTTTAACGCAAGCAAAGGACGATGGTATCGGGGATACAATGTTGTCAAACTCTGTTTCGCACACCCCTACAACTGACCGACCAATAACACCACCGCATAACACACACAGTGTCCTGCAGCCTGAGACTCCACCTAGAGGTGGGTTTCTAGGTAGATCCAATAAGGTAATAAAACGTTCTTCCTCCGTGATCTCCGACTCAGGCATTGAGAGCGAGCCCAGCTCAGTGGCCTGCTGGCCCCTGGACAGCCGCAGCGGGGTAACAGGAGGTCGCGACTCCCTCCAGCAGCAGCACCTGAGCCGTCGACGGGCAGCCCATCGCAGCTCCCTGGAGGGGCTTCAGACAGAGAGCCATGGCAGCCTCCCCAGTGCCACGCAAGCCTCGTTGACCTCCATCAGCTCCCTGCCATACGAAGATGAGGAAGAGGAGCGGCAGAGGCAGCTGAACACCCTCACCAAGTCCGCCTCCGCTCCACAAATCAACAGCCCTGATGACACCGAGAATGACCAGGAACCGGCCACTCAGCAGAGGCGAAACACTGAGGAGACTGGCCAAAGGAAGGCGGTCCTTGAGACCAGTCAAATGAGAAGGAATCGGGAAGGCAACAGTAAGGAAGTGCCTAGTCAGGAGGTATTCGAGAAGATGTCATCCAATCAGGAAAAGGCTGCAGATACCAAAGCTGATGCTGGGCTGATAAGTGCTGTGCAAGAAGTATTGCTTTTCCAGCAGTTTGTAACAGAAACATCTGATGACGGTCTGGCAGACCAGCAAGATGATATAGAAGAAAGCAACGACGTTCTGCATGTGGAAGACCCAAGTCTGCTTGATGATGACACTGGGATATGTGCCTGTGAAACTGAGTGCTGCGAACACAAGGGGGCGCCAGAGTCAGTTAATGATCCTGTTAACCACGATGACATTAGTTTCCATCACATCCATCTGAATGAGCTTGAGGATGGCAAAGTTCTGGGGAACCTTACAGACTCACCAACCAATGAAAACCAAAGCAGCCATAATGTTGCCAGCCTAACTATCAATGAGAAAGAGAGGCCCACTGACCTCACAGATCTCCTGCCAATGGGAGAGAGCAAAAAGGGCTGGAGGGCCAGACAAGAGCCAATAAGGTGCCGAGTTCAGGCTTGGCATTCGTGAATAAGAAGGTTGTGGAGGTGGTGAACCTGTCCGTGTCATGCGCCCCAACCTGCCTGCCCTTTTCTTCCGTCCTCCGTGACTCACCATCCGTCAGTGGACTCTCGGCCCGTCAGGCTACTTCCCCCATTACCCACCAGCCGCTAGGTTCTTTTGGAATCATCTCCTCCTCTTCCTCTTCCCTGTGTGCTGAACAGGAGATCAGTGAGAGGATGCTGAAGTGAGTCACAGTGAACATCCTTGTATATATATATATATAAACATGGAGGGGATCCTGTTGGGGAAATGAGAAGTTTGGGAATACTACAGTATCCCAAAATACTGACACTGCCAGAACAAATTAGGAACCAAAGCTCTTAAAGGCTAGTCTGCTTTTTACAAATAAGATTAGAGTAGACACATATTAACATTTGCCTACCACCCCACCCAAAACTTGCCAGAATGTCTTCATAAGATCATTGGATTCAGGGCCTCCTAAAACGCTGTTGGTTCTAATAAGGAACCATCAAAGATGTAGGCATTAAGCAAATCTTGTTAACTGGTTAGAGTAACTTTAGATAGCAGATAAAAAAGTTTGTTAATAATAACTACATGGGGCTCCCGAGTGGCACAACCGTCTAAGCGTTGGCCCTATCATCAGGAGATCACGAGTTCGATCCCTGGTGATGCTACAGCCATCCGTAGCCGGGAGTCCAAGAGAGCACAATTGGCCTCGCTCTCTCTGGGTGGGTAGGATGGCCCCTCCCTCTCCCCTCATCACTTAACGCGATGCTAGTCAGCGCAGGCGTCTATTTGGCTGACGTAACAGATCTGGCGGTTGGCGCTTTCCTCCGAGCGCGTTCGGCTGTCCAGTGACGTTGCGTGAGCGGCAGTTCAAAAAGAAGCGGTGGTTGGCTTCACGGGTCTCGGAGGAAGCCTGTGTTAGCCTTCACCCTCCTAGCGTTGATAGCATCGTGTGATTGGGGGAGTCTTAACTAGCGGATGGAATTGGAGACGACTAAATTGGGGAGAAAATCGGGTAAAAATAAAAAAAAATAATAATGATGATAATAATAACTACACAATTACTTCACTGGTACTACTGATAATATATTTACATGACTTACAGATGTGCTGTGGTGTTGTTTTATGATAACACTTTCAGTCAGGAGTTGTTGGCAACTGGAAAGCTTGTTTTTTTGCATGTATTTCATGAAGAAAACATTTTAAAATATCAGTGCTTCAGTGCAGCCACTAACTGTTAAATGTCAGAGCTGGATCAGAGGCAGGTTTTACTGTGAATGTAACACAAAGCTCTCATGCTTTCATTTGTGAATGCTTGTTTTTCAGTTTTTATAAGGCTAAAGAGGCTTTTCTGAGGAAGTTAGCATTCAGAGCCACTCTTTACAGCGATCTTCCTTTGCTGGCATCTGATCATCCATACTTCCCCCCAGAAGAGGAGGATGAGGAGTTTGAGGATGGAATCCACTTAGTAGTGTGTGTCCATGGTTTGGATGGTAAGTGCCTGTGAAGTACCCCAAAGTACCCCTGGTGTTTGACTGTGGACTGATCCAACCTCTGGTACAGTGGTGTCTGGACGGGTAGATATACTGTGGCTTTTTAGAGATGCCATCTAGTAGTGGATGGTATACCCAACAATTTATATCATGGTATAATTTCTGACGCTTTCAGTGTAGATAAACCTTTGTCGCTATTTCTTTCTATCAGTAGCCCCGCAGGCCGGAAAAAAATGGCGCTAAATGTTGTTTCACAGCAAAAGTTGGCTCCTTTTTCAGTAGCATTTTATTTGATTTCCTATTTGCACTTAAATGGAGCAGCACCTGAATGTAACTACTGCACCATTTAAGGTGGAGCAGGAAGTTTCGAACTTGGATCCAAATTACTGTTTACTGTTTCAACTGACCAAATCAGGCAGCTTCTTGGGAGGTATTAGAGGAAACAGACGTGTGGCAATCGCTAGGCACAGCCGAACCCCAAAAGGCCGGTTATCCCTTTATACCCACTGCCCCGACAACAAAGTGGGCTTCAGATGGACTAGACAATAAGAGGTGATCGAGGGACTCCCGTGTTATGATTTTCATTTAAAATGTGAATGAAACATCCCTGGCTCATTCAGCTAAACAGGGCTAACATGGTTTGCTCTGTATGTATGTCATACTAGTATAACGGTCATAGTATAATTCATAATTAAGGAAGAATTTAGCCTGTATACCACCAGTCACTACTACCCCACCCCAACACGCACACCTCTGTGTTCACATGATGTGGACAGATGCATACATCTTGGAGTGGGGGTCCCTAAGAAGGCACAGTATACCAATCTACCATTTCTGCCCTATGGTCTACAAGTAAAGGACCTAAATCTGAGCTAAAAGTCATGTGTATGTTAATATAAACGTAATACAGTATAGGTCAATATAGTGCTATGAAAATGGAATTTAGTTATTTTATGTAAGTGCATTAATCTTGTACTTAGAATGGACAAAGAAAAAAGACTTTATATTTACATACTGTTTGCACTTCACATTTACAGTCGTATGCAAAAAGTCTGGGCATCCCTGATCAAATGATGTTTTGTTGTGAAAAATAAATTAACACACCCTCTAAATGCGGAAAAATGTACAGAAATGTGCAAAAATAATGGCACATTTGATTTTTTTTTTCAATATATATAAAATTATGCATTATGCACTGAAGTTTGGAGAAAATGCAGTATTTAAGTGTGTTCTCTGTAGAAGATGCAACAAAACATGCAACTTACCTGGGAGTATTCAAGCCTTTGCATTGACTGTATGTGTAGTGAACAGTAATCAAACTGGAGTACATGTTCTAGCACTTTAGCATTGTATGTATTTTATGCTATGAATATCTCAGGCCTATATAGTTCAAGTTATTACTAATGTGATTCCTATAGAGAATGCAAGAAAATGGGGGCATGTTTGCTTTGTTCCTGGTCATGATAACTAGCAAAGTTCTATAAGCTTTCGTTCGTTTTTAAATAAGGGATTTGTTTCTCTTTTTGACACGTTTTGTTTGCTTTAGGTAACAGTGCGGACCTGCGTTTAGTGAAGACCTTCGTAGAGCTTGGCCTGACAGGGTCCAGACTAGACTTCCTCATGTCTGAACGCAACCAGGTAATCATGACCCAAACCAACCATAACTCTCACAATATCGTCATCAGTCGATTAGTGTCTGTAGTCCAGAGCAGTAATGGGCAAATGTTTTGACTGATCTCAGTCACAGGATTGTGTTGTGGGCCACAGAATGAATACAGTAAAGATAATAATAATAATAACATAACAATAACAATTACAAATCTCTGTGTAATCTGTAGCAACATTTCAACAGGAAATCATGAATTTTAAAGAAGTACCAGAGCCAGTTTAAGGGGAGACTGGCCCTGTCCTAATTCTCGCATTATATCAAAAACATAATTGCAAAAATGCTAGAATACGCTCACAAGTAAGTCCTCAATGAATGAGAGTGAAAGGAGCAAAAGCCTAAAAATGAACATATAAACATTTCTCCCATTTATGCAGGAACTTTCTTAAACTTTCTTAACTATGATTCTGAACAAAAGCTCTGGAGGAACACATTCACTTTGGACTTTCTCTGGAGCGCCCTCTAGCACATGACAAACCTGGAAGAAATTATTGAGTGGCAATTGTACTCACTAGAAATTCTCTGGTAGTACCAAAACTGTAAACAGCTTCTTTATGAGACCTGTTAGTCATGTGAAGTGAACTGCAGTCGACATGCTGTCTGTCTCTCACACAAAACACATGCTCTTTCCTTCTCTTTCCTGCCAGACCGACACGTTTGCAGATTTTGACACCATGACTGACCGCCTGCTTGATGAGATCATTCAGCACATTCAGCTCTACAACCTCACCGTGGGCAGAATCAGGTTTACACCTTCATCACCTAGTTTTCACACACCTGCAGCGTTAACACTCTCTACCTCTCGCACTCTAACAGTCATACCTGCACCACTCATATCTGCATCATTCACACCTGTACAACTCATACCTGCACCATTCACACCTGTAACAATCACACCTGTACAACTCATACCTGCACCATTCACACCTGTAACAATCACACCTGTACCACTCATGTCAGCACCACTCACACCTGCACCTTTCATGTCTGCACCATTCACAATTTTACGATTCCTGTACCATTCATATCTGCATCATTCACACCTGTACCACTCATATCTGTGCCATTCACACCTGTACCATTCATATCTGTGCCATTCATATCTGCGCCATTCACACCTGTACCATTCATATCTGCATCATTCACACCTGTACCATTCATATACGCAAGTCTCACCTGTACCATTCACACCTGTACCATTCACACCTGTACCATTCATATCTGGGCCATTCATATCTGCATCATTCACACCTGTACCACTCATATCTGTGCCATTCACACCTGTACCATTCATATCTGTGCCATTCATATCTGCGCCATTCACACCTGTACCATTCATATCTGCATCATTCACACCTGTACCACTCATATCTGTGCCATTCACACCTGTACCATTCATATTTGTGCCATTCATATCTGCGCCATTCACACCTGTACCATGCATATCTGCATCATTCACACCTGTACCATTCATATACGCAAGTCTCACCTGTACCATTCACACCTGTATGATTCATATCTGGGCCAATCATATCTGCGCCATTCACACCTGTACCATTCATATCTGCATCATTCACACCTGTACCATTCATATACGCGTCTCACCTGTACCATTCACACCTGTACCATTCATATCTGTGCCATTCATATCTGCGCCATTCACACCTGTACCGTTCATATCTGCGCCATTCACACCTGTACCATTCATATACGCAAGTCTCACCTGTACCATTCACACCTGTACCATTCATATTTGTGCCATTCACACCTGTATCATTCATATGATTGATATTCACATCAGTACCATTCATATTTGTGCCATTCACACCTGTATCATTCATATGATTGATATTCACATCAGTACCATTCATATCTGTACCACTCACACCTGTACCATTCATATTTGTGCCATTCACACCTGTATCACTCACACCTGCACTATTCACACCTGCACCACACATATCTGCATTCACACCCATGCTGCCACCTCACTATCAGCAGGAACAGGTGTCTTTATAGACTTGGGTCAGTAGCACCAGATCCATTCATACTTATATTCATGGTTCAGGTTACTTTTCTGATAATAGCACTACAACAACAGAAATAATAATAATAATAATAATAATAATAATAATAACAACAACAATAAAAATACATTATGACATTATTATTATTATTATTATTATTATTATTAATAATATTAACTTTAGACTATTATTAACACTTTTTACAATATCTTAAAATGAATGACTATCATGAAACCTTTAACAAGGTCAAGTCGAGGAACCATTTAGATGATTTTCATAAAGTGTTTTTCTACAGAGGAATGAACTTTGGAGTTCTACATAGAACATATTAAGTTCAGACCTGTTTAGAGCGCAGTGATCCAGCAGAACAGGAAGGCTGCTCAGTGCGCCCACAGCACTCAACATTACTGTTTATTTTTTATTTCATGATTGGAGAAGTGTAGCAAAACACAGGTAAACAGAGTAGAAACGCAGGATCAGGGAGAACAAAACAAAAGAAAACAAGTGACCAGAGAAACTAAAAACATTGTTTATACAGGTTTAGAGAAAATAAAACAAAATAGAAGATCCTCTACTTTTTTAGGTGCTCTGCCATCTACAACAAGGGTTTCAAAGGGTTTAGCTTCCGGCAGGAAAATCTGTACAGCTGTATTCTCCCAAAACTGACTGGGATAATAGGCAGCAGGAAGTCAAGAAAACAAGAAGCATCTAAGTTACAAATGGACATAAATCATGTATCTAATTCTGGAGAAAAATACACTGAGAGTCTAGTGTTTCTGTCACTGTGTGTGTAGTTATCCTCTCACCACAAGGTGGCAGTGTTGTACAGGAAAACAGCTCATGGATGGGCTTCAGACTGAGAACTGAAGGACTGGATATTATTTAAAGACTTCACCATTTTAATACAAAGCCTTTATAATGTATTTAACTCTGGATCTGTGGATGTGAGAAAGTCCACCACACACAATTATCTTTCTAAGCAAGTGATAAAGAGCACAATCATCTTTTACTTCAACTCTCTCTCGTTCTTTCTCTCTTGCGCCCAACAGTCAACAGACAGCTCCTCTTACGATGCAGCTAAACACACACACACACACACACACACACACACGCACACACACATACACACAGAGGACCTGATAAGAGGGACTGTGCTTCTTCAACTCTAGTTCTAGTTGCCACATATTTCATAGCATTGGTTATGAAAATCAGATATGTATTTTGTCCAATTAAAAGTCATACAAGTCAGATTAATCTGTAGACATTAAAGGAGTTTATATGACATTCTGTAGCACACTGCAGTGCCCAGCTGGCAAAGAACCTAGCAGAGGGTCAGAAAAGCCGAATTAGCATTAGCCAAAAAACTCAAGACAAAGAGACGCTTACTATAGCAGCCACTAGTCCAGGGACAAAATGACAGTGGACATCAGGAATTATTATTAGAGGGGAAATCCAGTGAGTTTTTCTGCATAACTAAATGGCTAAGCTGTAGTTCAGAGTCGTTCAGAGCGGTTTGGTGTGAAACGCTCTGTTCTAGAGAAACTTGCTGAGTCAGAATTGTTCACAGTGGTGGTGATAGGAACCAGACATCCACCTCTAAAAGCTCCCTCACAGAAACTTATTACATGAAATCGATATGAATTCACTGCTTTATGTCTGAGACTGGTTTTGGTCCAACAGCAGCTATCTACCTATATATATATATATATATATATATATATATATATATATATGTTTACTTTTGCCTTACATCACTACACTAGCGCTAAGGGCTGACACAACTAACACAACATGGAAACAGTAACCTTTAGACCCATAAGGACAGTGATGAAGGACAGTGATGAAGCCTTGCTATCCTTTTAATAGAAAATCTCCATTCAGAATGCTGTGTAGTCCAGGACTAGGCTTAATTCAAGTCTAGGAAACTGACCCATAGAGTTATTGCATAATGCTTGAACACTACTATTGTAGACAGATTTATGGTTTTTCTTTTTGCAGTTTCATTGGTCATTCTCTGGGCAACGTCATCATTCGCTCAGTGCTGACAAGACCACGATTTCGCTGCTACCTCAGCAAACTACACACCTTCCTCTCTCTATCTGGACCTCACCTCGGCACGCTGTTCAACAACAGCACACTAGTCAGCACAGGTATACATACATACATATATACATGCCTGTCTGTCATCTTTCTGTTTGGATGTACAAACCCAATTCCAAAAAAAGTGGGAAAGTAGGGAACGTAAATAAAAACAGACAGCAATGATTTCTGAATCCCTTTTGACTTGTATAAAAACAAGATATTTAATGTTTCAACTACTTAACGTTATTGTTTTTGTATATATACGCTTATTCTAAATTTGATGCTTGCAACATGTTCCAAAAAGGTTGGTACAGGGGCATGTTTACCAGTATGTGACATCACCTTTCCTTTTAACACTGTACAGTACTTATTTGGGAATTGAGGACACCAGTTGTTGTAGTTGTGAAAGTGGAATTTTTTTCCCATTCTTACTTGATATAACACTTCAGCTGCTGAACAGTCTGAGGTGTTTGTTGTCATATGTTGCACTTCATAATGTGCCACACGTTTTCAATGGAAGACAGATCTGGACTGCAGACAGGCCAGTCTAGCACCTGCACTCTCTTACTATGAAGCCACGCTGTTGTTACATATGCAGAATGTGGCTTGCCATTGTCTTGCTGAAGGAAACAGGAACATCTCTGAAAAGATGTTGTCAACATGGCAGCGTGTGTTGGTCCAAAATGCATGCAGCTCAGCATTAATGCCACTTACACACCCCTATACCATTTTTTGATGTTTACGCTGGTACACTAGGGATGGTCCTTTTTCTCTTGGAAAAGTACGCGACATCCAGTATTTCCAAAAACAGTTTGAAAGGTGGTCTACTTTGTGTCAGTCCATCTCAGATGAGTTTAAGCCCAAAAACGTCGGCGGCGTTTCTGTATGTTGTTGATTTATGGCTTCTGCTTTATGTAGTAGAGTCTTGACTTGCATTTGTAGATACAGCGAACTGTGTTGACTGAACAGGGGTTTTCTGAAGTATTTCTCATCTCGTGGTTATATTTATTATAGAAGCATGTCACTTTTTAATGCAGTGCCATCTGAGGTATTGAAGTTCATGATCATTCTGCATTGGTTTTCAGCCTTGCTCTTTACGCACATCGAGATTTCTCCTGATTCTGATTCTGATTTTAATATTACAATATTATAATAATGTTACAGACTGTAGACAGTGAAATCCTCGAATTCTGACAATCCCAGTTGTGTGTTGACCCTATCACAACTATTTTTTGGAATGTGTTGCAGGCATAAAATTTGGAATCAGCAGATATTTATAAAAATCAAAAAAGTTGAAAAGCTAAAATTTTAAATGTCTCCTCTTTGTGCTGTTTTCGATTAAATATATATAAAAGATAATTAAGAAATTATTGCCTTCTGTTTTTATTTGGATTCTACTTACTGTCCCAGCGTCATTGGAAGTGGGTTTGTATAACATATTTCTTTTAAATGTTCAGTAATGTTCTTTTCACAAGGCCAGATCTGATCCCACAAGTGTACGAATAAGATATGGTGTAGACATAAAGTGGTACTATTGAGTTGTTGATCTGAAGAAATCTGACAGAACTGATCTGAACAGTTTTGTGTATGTATTTGTGTGTTTTGTGCAGGACTGTGGCTGATGCAGAAGCTAAAGAAGTCAGGCTCCCTGCTGCAGCTCACCTTCAGAGACCACCCAGACCCCCGCCAGACCTTTCTCTACACACTAAGCCAGAAACCAGGTAAACCCACATGAAAAATTGCATAAAAAATTGTAGATGTCCTGTAGATGGTGACATCCCACCGTCTACAGAACGTAATATCATCAAAAGATTCAGAGAATCTAGAGAAATCCCTGTACACAAGGGACAAGGCCGGCGGTTGGTATTGGATGCTCATGATCTTCGGGCCCTCAGGCGGCACTGCATTAAAAACAGGCATGATTCTGTACTGGAAATCACTGCATGGGCTCAGGAAGACTTCCAGAAATCATTGTCTGTGAACACAGTTCACTGTGCAATCCACAAACGCAAGTTAAAGCTGTATCATGCAAAGAAGAAGCCATATGTCAACACAATCCAGAAACACTACTGTCTTCTCTGGGCCGAAGCTCATTTAAAATGGACTGAGGCAAAATGGAAAACTCTACTGTGGTCAGATGAATCAAAATTTGAAATTATTTTTGGAAACCACAGATGCCATGTCCTGTGGACTCAAGAGGAGCGGGACCATCCAGCTTGTTATCAGCGCACAGTTCAAAAACCTGCATCTCTGCTGGTCTGGGATTGCATTAGTGCCTGTGGCGTGGGCAGCTTACACATCTGAAAAGGCTTGAAATTGGCGTTGTACTTCTAGAGTTTGCTGATATTTAGTGGAATCCATTCTTCCAGCTACCCTTGCAGTGTTTTCTGTGACAATGGCTGCTATACAACCCCAAAGCGTAGTAGATACACCTCTATCCTTAATAGTCGGCAAGGTGTTCTTTGTCATCAAATACTGCTCCTTTTTCTCCAGAACGGAAGGTGGATGAAAGTTTCTCAGTGTAAAGCCAGCCTTAGGTTTTGTGAAGCTGAATCTTAGTCAGGAATCCTGACTTATTCAAATGTGTTGTGTAAAACTCCAGATCAATTACTCACACAAGCACATGAGCCAGACCGCACACAGTCAGCTAAAACCTGATACCACACACACACACACACACCTAATGTGTTATTATTGTGTTGTAGGGCTGCAGTTTTTTCGGAACGTGGTGTTGGTGGCCTCTCCTCAGGACCGCTACGTCCCCTTCCACTCAGCCAGGATAGAGATGTGCAGGACAGCTCTCAGAGACAGAACCACAGGTCAGTCTCCCCAGTCCACTCTGTGCTTCTGTGGTCTCTACAACATTTTTACAACCGTTTTATCATTAAGTGATAGTTTCTAAAATTCTATAACCTGTTATTAAACATTTTATTTTAACACTGCATCTTGAGTGTTTGTGGTGATCTGCCACGAATGCCAAGCATTTTTAGACAAAGGGGCCAGACGTAAGTACAAGTGCAGCTGCAGTGCGAGATGTTCCTTGATCCGAACACAATATACGCTTACAGTGCGTCTGAAAGTAGAGCTGCATTTACTAAGGTCGCACAGAGGACCGCAAATAGTGTGCAGGACTGCCAATTAACTGATCACTTGTGAGGCACAGGCTTTAAGAGGTATGATGAAAAATGGACCTGTCAACAGAAAATACGGACCATGAGTGCACATTGCCACTACATCATATATATATATATATATGTATTGCGCTGTATCTTCTAACACATGAACCTGAGAGCTGAACTAATGTCAATCTGACGGTAACTATTCTTTCAGTTTGCGTTCAAGGCTATTAAAAGAAACCTCTCACATCTTTAAGACATGAATTTAAAACACGGAGAAAACTGGCTGCCGATTCTGGCAATTTGCCAAAATGTTTGTATTTGTGTCTGAAATTTCCACAGAAGGCATAATACATCAGGCCTACGGTATTATTATGAACACAACATTAAAAACGATCTGGCTCTATAACTAACTAGGCACTATTTAGTTTTTACATTTTCACGAATGATCGTCGTGACTAAGGCTTTGTCACCCCCTTCAGAATAAATGGAAACTGTCATAGTGAGTATAGACCTGTATAATACATATGGTGTTAAATAATAAAAATAACTCTCAGTTTTGAGACTTTTTCTTTTTAACCAGATTCCATGAGCATGACAAGTACACGTCACAGGCACCAGAATGCCTTTTAGCACAAACTTGCGGACCACCGCTCTGTTCACACGACACTGTGCTTTCAGCCCGGTTTTTAGCGTGAACGGTTCTCAGAGAGCTCAGCTGCCCTGAGGATACAGTCTCTGTTAAACAGTCCGAGGTTCAGCAACAGGACATGATGGAGTGATGTTATTAAGGGTCTGATACAACACAGTGTCAGTGTTTAATCTGCTGACTTAATAAATGAAGTGTGACAGAAATACTGTGTATGAGACATGATGAGGAGGAAGACAGAGAGAGAGAGAGAGAGAGACGGGGGCAGAGAGACAGATAAATAGAGAGAGAAAGAGATGGAGATAGAGACAGACAGAGAGACAGATAAATAAAGAAAGCAATGAAGATAAATAGAGACAGAGAGAGATGGATAGAGAGAGAATTAGAGAAAGATTGGGGCAGAGAGACAGACAGACAGGGAGAGAGACAGATAAATAAAGCGATGAAGATAAATAGAGATAGACAGAGAGAGATGGATAGAGAGAGAATTAGAGAAAGCCAGACAGAGAGAGAGACAGATAAATAGAAAGAGAAAAAGAGAGAGGGAGATAAATAGAGAGAGAGAGAGAAATGGATAGAGGGAGAGATAGAGAGATGATTAGAGAAAGACTGAGGCAGAGAGATAGACAGACAGAGAGAGAGACAGATGAATAGAAAGAAATAGAGGGAGATAGGGAGAGAGAGACAGGGAGATGGAAAAAGAGAGAATTAGAGAAAGAGTGAGACAGAGATACAGACAGAAAGAGAGAGATAAATAGAGAGAGAAAAAGATAGAGGGAGATAAGTAGAGATAGACAGAGACAGAGATGGATAGAGAGAGAATTAAAGGAAGAGTAAGGCAGAGAGACAGACAGACAGAGAGAGAGACAGATAAATAGGGAGAGAAAGTGATAGAGGGAGATAAATAGATAGACAGAGAGATGGATAGAGAGAGATAGAGAGATGGAAAGAGAGAAGGAGATAGAGAAAGACAAAGAGAGATGGGTACATATATATAGAGAGAGAGAGATGGATAGAGAGAGAATTAGAGAAAGAGAGACATAAATAGAGAGATAGAAAGATAGAATGAAATACAGAGGAAGACAATGAGAGATGGATACATATATAGAGAGAGAGAGAGTTGGAGAGAGATGGATAGAGAGAGAATTAGAGAAAGAGTGCAGCAGACAGATAGAGAGAGAAATAAATCAGGAGAGGGAAAGATAGAGAAAGATAAATAGAGAAAGGAGAGAGTAGCAGTGATCAGAGCTGTTAACGTTTTCTCTCCTCTCTCTCGTCACCTTTGAGACTGTCGTGCTCTCTCTGACAGATTTTCTTCACAGAGGGTTAAGAAGCAGATGGAGGAATTTAGTCATGGTGAGAGAGAGAGAGGGAGAGAGAGAGAGAGAGAGGGAGAAAGAGTGTGAGAGAGAGAGAGAGAAAGTGAGAGAGGGAGAGATAGAGAGTGAGAGAGATAGAGATAGAGAGAGAGAGAGAGGGAGAAAGAGTGTGAGAGAGAGAGAGAAAGTGAGAGAGGGAGAGATAGAGAGTGAGAGAGATAGAGATAGAGAGAGAGAGAGGGAGACTTTGACTTTTCAATACACCTTTAATGTAACCAGTAAACGCTAGAAACAGATCACACAGAAATCAGCACAAATGCAGCAAAAACATCACCTTACAAATTCACCACAAACCCACCAAGTCCATCCGGAGAGAGAGAAAGAGAGAGAGAGAGGGAGAGATAGAGAGTGCGAGAGATAGAGAAAGTGAGAGAGAGAGAGAGAGAGAGAGAGAGAAAGTGAGAGAGAGAGAGGGAGAGATAGAGAGAGAGAGAGAGAGAGACAGAGAGCGAGGGAGAGAAAGTGAGAGAGAGAGATAGAAAGCAGAGAGAACTGAAATCACCTCTGCTGAGGAACAGTCACTAAAAATAGAAAACCAGGTTGCCCGTTATGGTGTGCGAGGTGTTTCTGTGAAAGAGAGAACTGTTATGTTAATCTAGGCCTGTGACGTCACATGGCGGTGAAATTCAGTACTTCATGATCCACTGTTTATTAAAAACAGTCAAATTTAATCGTACTGAGGTTAAAGCCTTTAATATTATGCTTGACTTAAATGTGCCGTTTTTCTGGAAATTTTGTGCACAACTTACTGGGAAAAATGAATTAATTATAAAATGTGTGCAATTTAGGTTATTTTCCCCCAATGTGTTTAATTCAGCAAATAGACAGTAATTGTGTATTGAAATGTGCGGAAGAGCGTCTCTGTAGAGGATGTGTCACTTATTTTCACTTAGAAAATCAAAAAAACATCATTTTTCATCAGTTTTGCATACAACTGTAACTCCAATCATGTTGACTCTGTCTTTGTGTCCTGCTGCAGGTCCAGTGTACACAGAGATGATCAACAACTTGCTGCAGCCGCTGCTGGACGCTCCAAACTGCCGGCTGATCCGTCAGAACGTGTTCCACGCTTTACCCAACACGGCCAACACGCTGATCGGCCGAGCGGCGCACATCGCCGTGCTGGACTCTGAGCTTTTCCTCGAGAAGTTCCTGCTCGTCGCCGGCCTCAACTACTTCAAATAGCGGCTTTAACGAGCCAATCAGAAAGCCCCGAAAGTAGCAGCGGGTTTCAAACGGCCAGTCACATCACACGGCAGTGTCAACGGGTCTGTTCGATTAAACGCGACAGGTCACACCGGACCAATCAGAACCAGCGGTCATCTTGTTTAACAAGCCGATCAAAATGATCTTAACAGATTACATCAGGGCTCCTCTAGTTCAAATGGCCAATCAGATTGCACCGCAAACGTTTAAGAGCGAGTGGCAGTCGGAAAGCGGGGCAGTATATACGTATATAAATGTTGTACAGTATGTAAAGTAATTATATAGTGAGAAGTATATAATATTCAGAGGCTCAAACAAGCCTTAAATCAGAAGATATTAACACAGCTTTGAGAATTAGCTCAGTTCTCTGTTCCAAACGAGTGTCGTCCGTGTCCCATCCGAATGTACGTGTTGTATGTACTGTAACAGATAGACGTGTCCAACCTTCGAAACGTATTTAAGATCAAAAGCATTTCCTCATTGCTGTTCATGACTTGAAGTGGTCGAAATCACTGGACTCTTAATACTTGAAGAAAAAAAAATAGCAAAGAGTTTCTGGCAGGGTTGCGTTTGTAAATTTGTTACGTTAAATTCATGCCACTTAGAGAAATGCTGTAAGACGTTCCTCCATGTGAAGAAACAACTATTTTCATATATATTTTTTTTAACTGCGGCATTCGTGTTTTGTTTCATTTTCGTTTTAGCGTCTATGTAGTGAGTCGGAAATCATCGTGAAACAAGCCAAATCGCCAGTGTTCTTCGTACAGTAGTGCGACGTGTGTTCTGTAAACATCCCCGTACCCGTCAGTTTCCGGTGCATGGAGATACCAGAGATTTTTGTCAGAAAGTGTTGACAATATATTGCCTTAAATGATCAAAAAGGCTTGTATTTATCAGCGTTGTCCTCTGTTATTGTTACGCTGTCCTGTCTTACTCTCTCTTTTGTTTTTAATGTTGTTGGTTCATCGTCACTTGTGGCTGCTGAGGCCGAATCTGGTTGTTTGAACTCTCACTGTCATTATTTTTCCCTTCACACTCTTAAAATGAGTTATTTGAGCAATGCCATAGAACCACTTTAGTCCCCTGAAGAACCGTGGACAGTGTGTTACTTTAAGGAACACAGGGATTTATTCGCAAGGAACCTATTAAAGCTCTTGTGAGCCACAGTATACGTGTACAAAGCGTGTCCTTTGAAAGTTTTTCACCAACATTCTCCTCTTTCAGTGTAAACTGGGCAGCACTCATCTTGGGTAGCGCTTAGGTCAGCAGTCCCCTCACTGTCACAAGGCTGATGTGGGTTATCCTGCCCATACAGCTTTAACAAAACTTTCTCTTGGGTCGGAGAAACTGGGACTGGGAATCCACTGTTTAGCCCCCCCCCAAAAAAATCAGATTTAATCGTATTGAGGTTAGAGACCTTATTATTATGCTTGACTTAAATGTGGTATTTTTCTGGAAATTTCTGTGCACAACATACTGGGAAAAAACGAATTAATTGTAAAATATGCGATATCTTCTGCACAGTGTAGGCTTTTTCCCCCCCAATGTATTTAATCCAGCAAAAAAAACAGTAATTGTGTATTAAAATGTGCAGAAGAGCGTCTCTGTAGAGGATGCGTCACTTAGAAAATCAACAAAACATCATTTGACCAACAGTTCATTTTCGTTTTAGCGTCTGTGTAGTGAGTTGGAAATCATCGTGAAACAAGCCAAATCGCCAGTGTTATTCGTACAGTAGTGCGACGTGTTCTGTAAACCTCCCCATACCCATCAGTTTCTGGTGCATGGAGAAATCAGAGATTTTTCTCAGAAAGTGTTGGAAATATATTGCCTTAAATGATCAAAATGGCTTGTATTTATCAGAGTTGTCCTCTGTTATTGTTACCCTGTAACATAACTTCTTTGCAGTCGCGGGTCGGAGAAACTGGGACTGGGAACGTTGGAGTGATGGATGTCAATCGCATGTGCTCACCAATATATTAGGCCACGCCCAGACAGTTCTCAGATGGGTCTAATCGGCTGTTTTTAAGCCGTGTTTCATCATATTTCTATTTTTTTGAAGTTTGCTGGATGTTCAATATAACTTAATTTTAGTATCATACAAACTTTTCTAGCATTTTATCCTGTGTTCCCTGAGCCCTTAAGGTCTCGTTCATTGCTCAGTAAAGCCATACTTTGACAGTTGCATTAATGAGCAATAAACACTTAGTTAAGACTGTTATGCAATTTTTTAAGCATAAATGAATCACCTAATTTCATATCTTATTAGTATATAGGGCGGCACGGTGGCGCAGTGGGTAGCACAAGAAGGGCCTGGGTTCGATTCCCCGGCCGGGCGACCAGAGTCCTTTCTGTGTGTTTGCATGTTCTCACCATGTCTATGTGGGTTTCCTCCCACAGTCCAAAGACATGCAGTCAGGCCAGTCGGAGATGCTAAATTGCCCCTGGGTGTTAATGTGTATGTCTGTGTCTGCCCTGCAATGGACAGTCCAAGGTGTTTCCTGCCTTCTGCCCAATAAGCGCTGGGATAGGCTCCCGCGACCCGGGAGGATAAGCGGCTTAGAAAATGTGTGTGTGTAGTAGTGTATAGTGTATTCTAGGTAGCATCAGGAGTTGATTACTTTAGATCTAGTAAGAGTTTAATAATAAACATGTAAGCTCAGAATATTTTCTAAATGAATCTCAACCAGTTTTAACAACCAAATGCAGATAAATTGTATGAAAGACTTTTCAATCTTGAGTCAAAATATCATGAATAGGTATTGAATTTGTGATGCAAATAGACTTAAAAAAAGACTTAAGAGTCACTTATATAGAACTTATAGGAATAAAGTGGTGCTAATTATATTCTAATATGAATTTATATCATTTGTGCTCAATAATTTGAAAAACAATATCTTAACAAACCATTTATTGTGCATTGTTACATCTCCTACTGCAGTTATTAGTGACTTTCACAAAACACAGTTATGTACTAATATAAGTCATACTGAATGGATCTAAATGCACAGTGAATAAAACAGTAAGAAATGTTTAATTTGGCTTTATTGAAGAAAGAACAAGACTGTAATTGACGTAAACTTCTTTAAAATAAAATGTTTGTAAATGAGCTGTGCATGTGTGAAGATCCTTTAGGTATAAAGAACCTTCATGTAAAATAAAAGCTCCTTACCAATTTAAATTTATCCTAGAACCTTTATGTTATACGGAGGTTCTTCGAACATTATCAAAATTCTCCACACTCGCGTGTCTCGTTTAGAAAGATGGTTCTCTAAAGAACCACCTATTGAAAAGTTCTTTAGGGAAATAAAGATGGTTCTTCTATGGCATCAAACAAGCAACCCTTTGACACCTGACACCTTTATTTTTAGGACCGCAAGAGATCTGTGTACCTTACGATTTATGATTTTATTTATTTTATTCTGCGTGTGTTTTGTATGAAAATCCATCATTAATTAACAAAATGTGTTAGAACACAAAGCCTTGTGGGTACTCTAGTCCTTTCTTACCACAGTTGTTTACATTGTCGTAGCATGATGGTGTACCGAATGATTTTGTTGGTATTATTAATGTAGAATCGGATACATACAGTCACCCTGTTCATCTCAGTCTGAAGTGTTTTCACATTTTTTATGTAGAATCTTGTTCATTTATGTTCAGCCTGGCTAATTACTTAACGAGCCTAAGTTACTGAAGTGAAGCACTTACCGCTACCTAGCCAAGTAGCCAAAAAATAGAATTATTTTCCAAATTAATAGAATTGAGTTTCCTGAATGGGCCCTGTTTTTGTGTACTTTTGTGGGATATCTACTAAAGATGCAAATTCAGCTAAAATCTTTTAATGGACAACTGACCATAATTAGCCATTAACAAACAAGCCAGAAATCAAGGATGAGTCCCATCAAAATATCATCTCTCAGACAGAAATGTCCAGGTCTAAAAGCTGATGGCTGTGCTACATTCAAAGCCACTGTAACATAACTGCTGTACGCACACTTATGAGCACACACATCAGCTGGATTCTGTATTAATGCACTTTTTAAACATATTAAAAAGTGTCCTTGTGTAGATGTGGAATCCAGCAGTGAGAGGCCAGCATGTCAGTAAATGTCCCGCAACGTTATTAAACGTCCCCAACGTAAAAACCTGTGTTTATCAAACAGGTAACACTTTATTTGAATAGTCCACTTTAGATGCTTTCTAGATACTTAATTTACTTTCAAGGTACATTCAATATCTACTAAATTGACCATAATTGTCTTTAACTCTAAACCTCTTATCTTAACCCTAACCTTAACCTCAACCCAAAACCTAAACCCAACCCTCACCCTGGTCCAAATCCTAACTCTAACCCCACCACTGTTTAGAATCAACACATTGTTTGTTAACAGTTTGAACATCTGTAGATAATCTATAGGGGACTATAGTGGACTTTCCACATAAAGCGAGACCCTACAAAAGGCCAAAATGACTGGAGTGTACAATGATGAATGGTGAAAATAACTTTATTCTAAAGTTTTAAAGTTCAAAACACCATGAGCAGGGCTAGCTCAGTGTCCCTCAGTGGCTCTCGAAAGCCATTGCAATCCACCACATCCTCCTCAAAAGTGGACCCGAACACCACTATTTCTTCATTTTGTTAGCAGGCCTGTCTAACAGAACCAGCTGCCTATTGTGCACTCATGCTTACAATTAAATACCGTTCCTCAGCTCGATAAACTCGTAATAAACTCACCTATTAAAGTAGGAAGTACCGTTTATTGAAAATTAAATTATAAAAATATTTTTTTTAAACCAATATTATTAGTCCCTAGTGTATAATGCAATATGTTTCTGGCCTTTTACTTCATATACAACTGCAAGCATACATGCATTCGTGAGATCCTGCTGGTGTGGAGTAATGCCAGTTTCCTCCCTCTCAATGATGCAACTTTTTATAGACAGAATTCAGCAACTTACGAGACGACTCTTTTCAGTTTTGAGCCAGGGGAAAATTGTCAGTGGCATATGCCAGAGGCAGCATATTGTAGCTGTCCAAAAATACATTTATCTCCATTTTTGTCTGTTTTTATTTTTCTACATAACACAGCGTTTGACATTTGAAACACCGTTTGAACATGGCGGCTGTGTCCTATGTATCGGGTGAACGTTTTATGCTGAATGGACCAGTAGAAAAGCTCCAAAATCACCTGGAATTAAACCTCCTTGCAATAACTTACATTCAACTTTAATTATTGTTGCTCTCTTTTTGGAGATACATGTTTGTCTTCATAGCCTATAGAGACTAGGCTGGAGTATCACTTTGAGTTAGTACAATAACTAAGCACTTTAGGGCCGCACTGAAAAAGTAATGCGTTGAATTTACCTGGTTTCAAATGTGTAAATCATTTCTACATGCATAAAATATATTACATCAACATATTCGTTGCCAAAAGCAAGTAAACAGAAACTTATTGATGTAATATAATTTATTCTCATAAACATTATGTGTACATTTCAATCATGTAAACTGTGCTTTACTTTTTCCGGGCTTATCCTTCCCCCTCTTCTCCACCCTTGTCAGGAGTGTCCATCTCGGCCGTTTTGTCCCGCTGATCCTCTTTGTGCTTTTGTGTTTGCACTGACTGACACTGATTGGTCAGTAAACATGCTGCCAGAGCGATTGATGATAGTTAATCTCGCTGAAGAGCAACAGAGGTTGCATGGTGGCATCATGACTCTGCTGCTGTGTCAGCACTGAGAGAGATGCTGGACACAACGCTTTGATTTCCAGTATGAATTACTGCAGCTTGGCCTGCGTGGTGCGTAGTGTCCTCACACTCCCGTAGTGGTTGCTGGCAGGACGTGATGGTCATGTTTACCCACACAATGCAGGCATAACAATGAAGGAAGAGGGTCGATCTTTACCGTTAGCATTCACCAAGGACAAGTGTTCGCTGTCTGTGTTGAGAGTAGAGTGCTGCCAAAGTGGGGGAATGGAGGATTTTCATGGCACTTTATTGTATCACGGCTTTGGGAAAAAAGGAACTTCGTTTTTATACATGATGTTCTGTTTCCAGCTAGAAACATATTAAGCAAAACCACATATTACAGGAACCAACATCTGTACTGAATGTGTAGAAGCAGCTCTACAGACCACCCCAACAAGGGTCTTACACGTGTGACCCGAAGGCCAGACGGGGGAATAAGAGGAAGGATGAAACAGAGAGCGTGTTTATTTATGTTCTGTTCTCCTGAGTGTTTGAGTTGATTGTTTTGAGATATTTAGTCATTTTGAGTTGTTGAATTGCTCTGAATTGTTTTTGGTTGATTTTTTTGAGTTTTATTATTTGAGTTGATTATTTTGAGTTGTTGGATTATTTTGCGTTTTTGGACAGTTCTGAGTTGTTTGATTGCTTTGAGTTGATTGTTTTGAGTTGTTGGACTGTGTTGGGTTATTAAATTGCTTTGAGATGATTGTTTTAAGTTGTTGGACTGTATTGACTTGTTGAATTGTTTTGAGTTGGTTTGGGTTGGACTGTTTGGGGTTGTTGGATTGCTCTGAATTGTTGAACTGTTTTGGGTTGATTGTTTTGAGTTGTTTTATTATTTGAGTTGATTATTTTAAGTTGTTGGATTGTTTTGAGTTGATTTGAGTTGTTGGATTTGTTTTGAATTATTGAATTGCTTTGAGCTGATTGAGTTGGATTGTTTTGAGTTGATTGTTTAGAAATGGATTGTTTAGTGTTGTTGGATTCTGTTAACTATTTTCAGTTGTTGGATTGTTTTGAGTCAACTATGTTGAGTTGGATTACTTTAACCGTTTGAGTTGTTTTATTGTTTAAGTTAACTCTTGAGTTGTTGGATTGTTTTGAGTCGATAATTTCGAGTCATATTGTTTTGGGTTGTTTGAAAGTTTTGAGTCATTATATTGTTTTGATGTGTTGGAATAGTTTGAGTTGATTGTTTCGGGTTTTGTATTGGTTTGAGTTGTGCGATTAGTTAGAGTTGTTAAATTGTTTTGAGTTATTGAAATGATTGTGGCTGTTTGGAGTTGATGTTTTTGACTTGCTGGATTGTCTTGAATTGTTTATTTTGAGGTGTGTAAGTTGTTGGTTTGTTTTGAGTCATTCGATTGTTTGGAGCTGATTGTTTTGTGTTGTTCGATTATTCTGGGATGTTGGACTGTTTTGCACACACATCCAGCTCCATCCAAAGCTCCTTCACATCAGTTCAGATCTCCTCCTGAACGTGCATAAAGTGCATGACTAACCTGTGTGTTTCATTTGAATACGCTGTCCATCAAAGGTTTGAGACAACTAGCTTTTCAAAATATATATAAACACAAATCAGCATGTATTCTTGGTCGGTTTGCAATAATATAACATATTAAAGCTGGTTCATTTAAAGAGAAACAAGATCACACGTAAATATTAGTGGCAGAATTATCAGAATGATCATTTTATCCCCTGGTTATGATGTCAGCACTCAAACCTTTCAGCTGTTTAAACACCTTTGGGCCAGAAGGGTTTTAACAGGTATTTTCGCACTGAATTGGAAATTAATAGAGAAAATCAAACATAACTGTCAAAAGAAGCCAGAACGTCTCCAAACCCGTGATGGACAGTGTACGGCTGTGTTGTGCTTGTTTGCTCTCCGAGAGGCAGCTACGTTTCCTGTTAATGCACTGCTCATAATGCGAGTTAAACTGTCCTTTATTTTGCTGCTCCTCTTCCTGTGTTTTAGACGGTTCAGTCATGAATGTAGAGGAACGACTAACTAAACGATGTATTCACTGTGAGAATGTGTCCGATCTCTCTGATCTACTGTGCGTAGAGATGTTATTCACCAGATCATCCGTGCCAACGATAGTCTGATATTTTTCTATGTTTGCTTAATGTGTTCCTTGTAGCTTTCGCCCAAATGTATAAAATATAAATAACACACGTATATAAATATATAAATATATATTCAGTATATTTAAACATGTAATACATTATATACAGTATATATGATTAGATGACAGCAAATAAATATAATTCCTCTTTTAAACGATGATGTCTTGGTGTTTCTGCTGAACAGTATGTCTGTTGTTTGTTGTTTTATTTATTTATCCATGAAGGACAGAGCGTATCGGTCAGCGTGAAGTGAATTATGCCACCTGCAATACCATAACTAATGTTCATCTGTAGTCCCTGAAACCTGGGTCCGGATTCACAAAGACTTTCTGGTAACACTTTCAATGAATGTCACATTTGTAAGCATCTATAAACCCATTTATATCATGTTATAATGTGTTCATAAGGCATTATAAGCATGGTTATAAATATTTTTAAAAAAGAATTACACTGAATTACACTTTATAGCCATGTTGATAATACATTATGAATTGTTAATATAATGCAATATAAATAGTGTTAATAACATGTTATACTGTCAGTGCCAATGAAGTCAGTCCCAGCTTGGAGAGCGTAAAGTAAAGACAAATACCAAGCTAACGGTGGTGAACATTACCTTTCCCACATTGGGTAAAACACTGATGGCAGCTCTAGTTTAAACTCTGACATTTGAAGCCTGTAATGTGCTTTATTGTTTATGTTTTAGTGTTTCAGTAAATCCTTCAGTAAATACTTCAACTTGAAGCCTCACTCTGAGCACTGGAGGAGGCTTTAGTACAGTACGCTTCACTTTACTTAGAGCGGACAAATACAACTTATGAGCTCTTATAACTTGTTATGATCAGTACTTATAATG